CAGGAACAACAAAAAGGTGGGGGTTTTTTCCCTTTAATTTAGGACAGCAACATCAATAACAGCAGGTCAGTCAGACAAGTGCACTGAAATAATTTCCATTTGCTGTCAGAAGAAAAAAATTGAAGCCCAAATTACAGGAAAAAATACGTACTTCAACTTTTTTTGATTTCTGCCCCATTTTTATCCTCTGCCTGATATTTGCCATGTGTTTGACACTGAAACCAAGTGGCAAAAGCACTCAAGAGGTCTGGGGTCTAGCCCAGACCATGCTGAACTCTCCTTCCCTCTCAGTGCAGACTGAGAAGAAAGCACTTCAAGGTTTGGTATCTGCCAGGGCATCCATGCTAACAGTCTGTTTGTATCATTGCCTTGGCATCCATGCTTTGACATTTGGACTTGATGATCTTAGAGGTCTTTTCCAACCTTAACGATTCTGTGATTCTATAGTTTTTTCACACCATTGACTTGGCCTACTCTGTCTTTACCCTGGGGTGCTGGTCCCTCTTATAATCCTCACAGCACACCTATTTCCACATTTGTCTTCTTTCTGGAGCTTTGCTTTGGATCCTTTTGAGAGGGAACTCAGTCAATGTTGACACATGAGTTGTCCCCATCATCTGCTTCAGATCAGAAATCCCAGTGTGGAAGCACCAGCTGTGGTTTGTTCTCTGAAATGCTACTGCATGCCCTCGTGCCACACGAGTGCCTGCAACACAAGCATGTTGTAAAGACACCATTCAAGTAGGTTGTGATACAATCCCCCCCTTATTCGGTATAACAGATACCCACCTCACAGTATATTCATCAGATACCTAGAAGTCTTTGGAAAGTGGAATATAATTGAAGATAACATGTGTGTGGGATGAAGAAAGCAAAATTTATTAGTAAATTTCATTACAGTATTAACATATTATAAACTTCAATCAAGAATGTCATTGGGAAGGTCCTACCCAATCAATAAATTATTTAAAATTTCCACTAGTAAAACTATGAAAGGAGATTTTTGTGCTCATACTCAAGAGCATATAATGAGTCACAAGGGACTTCTGAGTTCATCTTGGCTCCAATACGTATGGAGATTTATTAAAGACAAAGCAAACACTTGGGAAGATCAAGCTCTTGGCTTTCATATAAAGATGATGAAAGGAGAAGACAGCCTGCAGAATCCGTGCTGCATCCCACAACGTGATGTGTGCAGGTGTCTGAGAGACCCCAGTCTGTAACTGGCTACCATGGAGGTAAGCCTGACAAAGGAGAGTATGTAGACTTGGGAAGAAAGTGAATGAAGAACTGACAAGAAGATTAATTTTTTAATTTCTGTGTTTTTCTATTAGTGGAAATAATTGCCCATGTGCCGAACTGTAAGGCTCATCAGTTACTAGCATGATTTTATTACGCCAGTCACAGCTTTATCCAAACGTCCCACTATTTGTTAAGTGGCGAGACATTGAACAAACTGAACAAACTTCATAGACAGTCCTCCCCACACCTAAAACTTCCCTACCTTGTAAATCCACTGGGTCACCCAAGATGCAAATTATAAGAAAACTTGTGTGAAGATTGTCTGGTTGCAGAAACTGATCTGATGTGACCGCAAGCTAATGCCATAGTTTAGGTGTAGGTAGTTTTGAACACCTTTCCCCATGTTGGCATAGCTGGGTGACATGCAAAGGAACATAAGTATATAAATGCATATCCAGAGCACAACAAAATAAGAATTAGGGTATGCCTCTACGAGACAGGGAAATAAGCCAGGACATGGACCCAAAAAATGGCATGTAATTATCCGTAGTTCTTAGAAAAGAAGAAAATTGTCTTGTCCATGAGGCATATCAGCAGTGATTGAAACTGAAGAAAGACAATTTGTTTTTTCATAGAAAATATTGCTGAAATTATTTAAGAGTTGGAATTGTAAATCAGTTATCGGGACATAGAGATTGGAGCCAAGAATTAATTTGATTCATGCATGGAAACCAGTTTTTAAATTTTTATATTACATTTTAGTATTTGCTTTCCCTGAGATTCAGCGTGATGTCAGCTACAGAAAAGCAAAACCAAACCCGCATTACAGAATTCATCCTCCTGGGATTTGGCAATTTACCTGACCTTCAGGTTCCTCTCTTCCTGCTCTTCCTGGTGATCTACGTGATGACAGTGATTGGAAACATTCTCGTCCTCCTGTTGGTGGCGGCTAATCAGCATCTCCACACCCCAATGTACTTCCTCCTCAGTAACCTGTCCTGCTTGGAGACGTGCTACAGCTCCACCATCCTGCCCAAGCTGCTGGCCAGCTTCCTGACAGGCAACAGAAGTATTTCCTGCAGCAGCTGCATGACACAGTTTTTCATATTTGCTTTTCTAGTTGGGGTAGAGTGTTATCTCCTGGCAGTTATGTCTTATGACTGATACTTAGCAGTGTGCAAACCTTTGTGTTACATCACTGTAATGAATCACAAGCTTTGCACAGCACTCACTGCAGGGGCCTGGGTAAGTGGTTTTATGATCAGCTTTGTTATCACACCGTTGATGATACAAATGGTGTTCTGCAATCGCAGTGAGATTGACCATTTCTTCTGTGACTTCAGCCCTGTGATAAAATGCTCCTGCAGTGACACATTTCTGATAGAAGCTTTAACGTCTTTGCTGGCTCCCACACGTACCACGCCGCCCTTTCTTTTTGCTGTAGCATCCTGTATTTTAATTACCATCACCGTCCTGAGAATCCCTTCAGCTACAGGGAGGCAAAAGGCATTTTCCACATGCTCCTCTCATCTCATTGTGGTCACTCTTTTCTATACAGCTCTCATCCTTGTCTATATGTTACCAAAAACTTACAACCTCACAGCTTTTAACAAGTTGTTCTCTGTCTTCTACACTGTAGCGACACCCTTGGTGAATCCACTTATCTACTCCTTAAGAAACAAAGAAGTCAGAAGAGCCCTGGCAAAAGAAATCCAGGCATTTATGGGTTTATATAAATGACATGACAAGAGCTATGCTTTGTGGGGTTTTCGGGGTTTTTTGTCATTTGTTTTTTTTTGGGGGGGGGGGAGGCAGACTATAAAAATATAAAGCATTGGAGGTGATTTCCACAGCAAGTATATGGTCACCGATGTAGTAATTTGCCTAGTCACAAGTGGAGCTGAGTGGTTTTTTGAAGGAAAAAAACCCGCTTTTTTCAGACTTCCTCAAAAAACCCTGTAAAATAGTAAGCACAGCCCAAAATAATCTTCATTAAACTCAAACCAGCTTTGTCATGTTTTCATATTATTTCCATCACTTAGAAATCAAAATCGACAGGAAGAAAAAAATGTGTCTGATGGCTGCGGAGACGTGGGGCACAGAATGGCCCCGTGCATCAACGCAGGGCGCAGAAGAGGACCCTGGCCAAGCGCCATGTGGTGTGGCAGGAGTCAGCTGCCCGAAGGTAGAGATGCAGTGTCCTTTAGGTGCCGTGGGGATGCTTCCCTGGACTGTGCCCACTGCTGCTCTGAAAACGTGTAGGTCTCTCGTAGGGCACAGGTCATTTCTGCCAACCTTGTGAAGATGTCATGGACGTCCCAGTGCTTCTCCTGTGCCGTGGGATAGAATCATAGAATGAATCATAGAATGGCTTGGGTTGGAAGGGACCTCAAAGATCATCTAGTTCCAACCCCCATGCTACGGGCAGGGACACCCTCCACTAGACCACATTGCCCAAAGCCTCATCCAACCTGGCCCTGGATGCCCGTGCTCTGCCTGCCCGTGCCATGGGGAGCTCGTGGCAGTGCAGGTGAGAGCCAGGCTGCACTGCAGCAGCTCGGGTATCTCTTCCTTAGGAGCCGCCTTTAGCAGTGCAGCTGCTGGCAGCGCTTCCCTTGGGACAAAGATGATAAAGACATTCGTAACGCTATAGTGACTCTACAGAGAGGAATCTGAATATTAAAGGTTAGTGTCTGTTTTCGTGGCAGTAGCTAGGGCTACATTTGAAGTTCATGGAAAGAAAGGGGCTTTGCCAAGCAGGGAACATTCATCTCAACTAAAGGTTGATGGTATGAATTAGACTTTCAGGCATCACTTACATGTCTAAGGTGACGTGAATCTTTGCTCACTATGATAGTACAACACAGGTCAAACCTCACCTAAATTTGACAGCTAGAATTTTGTAATGCAATCTGTGGGTCCCTTGTGGGCAGAGATAGGGAGCTCCTTGTTCTCACCCTATTGGCAGTGCCACTGTCCCTTCACCAGTTATTTAGGGATCAGGAGGAAGCTGAGCACTATAGGTGCCAGGGGTGGTCACCTTTTCTGCTAAGTTTAGACACCTGAGAAAGAAAAGCAGTGCCAATGTGGGAACGTGGGGTTCCTCAGAAGTCAGTGGAAATCCACAAAAACCTCTTCCATATGTGATTTACCTTGTTCCCAGATATGTAACTCAGTTGAGATGGGCAAGTCACTCTCTGGAGATGCTTATTTCTTTCCGAGGGCTGTAGAAAGATCCTAGGTATGAGTCATAAACTTAGAAAGCTGACCTGTGACCTCCTTAGGTATGGTAAAATTAGTATAAGAAATATTAATTCAAACTAAATATGCTTCTATATTCCCTCTGGATCACCATCCTTTCTAACTGTACTGTGTATAGATGTTTGGGTTTTGGTAGCAGGGGCTGCAGGGTGACCTCTGTGAGGAAGGGCCAGGGGGCCCTGTGCTCCACAATGGATACGCTGCAGGACACAGCTGAGCCCATCAGCCAAGCTGGTGGCACCTCTGTGAAAACATATTCCAGAAAGAGCAGAAAATTCCAGGCAGAGGGAAGAGGCATGAACAAAAAGAGTGAGAGAGAGCAGAAGGAACATCAAGGTCAGAAAAGCAGGAGGAGGTGCTCCATGGTACCCAAGCAGATATTCCCTGCAGCCCATGGAGGACCCACATCAGAGCAGATAGATATTCCTGAAGGACCTGCAGCCTGTGGAGGACCCAGGCCAGAGAAGAGGAGAAGTGAGAGGGAAGGAGCGGCAGAGAGAAGCTGCTATATACTGACCCTAGTCACGCCCACACCCCAGCACTGCTTACAAAGATGATGAGGGGACTGGAGCATCTCTCGAATGAGGAAAGGCTGAGAGACCTGGGGCTATTTAGCCTGGAGAAGACTGAGAGTAGATCTGATCAACACTTATAAACATCTAAAAGGTGGATGGCTAGAGGATGGGGCCAGACTCTTCTCAGTGGTGCCCAGTGACAGGACAAGGGGCAATGGGCACAAACTGGAACACAGGAAGTTCCATCTCAACATGAGGAAAAACTTCTTCACTCTGAGGGTGACCGAGCACTGGGACAGGCTGCCCAGAGAGGTTGTGGAGTCTCCTTCTCTGGAGAGATTCAAAACCCACCTGGACACCATCCTGTGTGACCTGCTTTGGGTGATCCTGCTCTAGCAGGAGGGTTGGACTAGATGCTCTCCAGAGGACCCTTCCAACCCCTACCAGTCCAGGATCCTGTGATTCTGGGTGGGGAGTAGAGAAGCCTGGGGTGAAGCAGTGAAGTTGAGCCTGGGAAAATGGGGAGGAAATGTGATGTTTTAATGCTTATCTTTGCTTCTCATTGCCTGAATCTATTTTAATTGGCAACTAGTTAAATTAATTTTCCCCAGCTTGAGTCTGCTTTGGCCATGGTATCAACTGATAAGCCATTACCCTGTACTTACCTTGACCCACGAGCTTTCCCATGCTATTTTCTCCCCCTCCCATCTCACTGAGGGTGGGCAAGTGAACAAGTGGCTGGGTTGGAGTTTGGCCCCTTAGCCCACCACACTAATACTCCTCACCTTACCGTGCCACCTAATAATCCTTCCTCCAAGCCTAGCATAACATGCTGTTGTGGTGGGTTGACCCTGGCTG